GCGGCGGTGGTGAAACTGGAGGCGCGGCCGACCGCCGAGGCGCACCCGCTCACCTCGGCGTCATTCGGGGAGGGGGACAGGGGGTCTGCGTGACCTGGGCCCACCACGTGTCTCTTGCTCTGACGTCGCGCTTGGCGATGCGCCTGACGTGCGTCCGCAACACGAGATCACCTGCCTCGACCTCTTGCACACCGAGCGTCGCGATATCATTCGCGAATAATTAAAGCTATTGTCCGCGGAAGGTGGGAAGAGAGGAGTACGCTGATCGCAACACGCGAGATGTGAACTCTCGTGGAGATCGGCGTAGTTCAGGGAGAGCGGTCAGACTCCTCAGACCTCGTTTTTTCGATACCGTGGTTCCCCATACGCGGAAGAAACGAAACGGGAAGTTGCGGTCGTGAGACACTGTCGTGACGTGCCCGAAAGATATCCACGGAGTAGCACGGTATAGGAAGTGCGTGCAGCACGCGTGTATGCGGTTTCGTTGTCTTCCGTCATCCCGCGTCATAACGAGAGGAGAGGAGGGACGCGTGATCCGCGCGGACGGTGAACGTGATTTATTTCGGCACGCGGTAATTTCGGGACTGCGAGAGCGTGCACGAGGAGGCAGCGGACTCCGGAGGAGGGGATGCACTCGCGCCGCGAGTAAAAGAGAGGCCGCGGGATAGAGCGAGAGTAAAGCCCGCCGCTTGCGTTGACTTGCGTCAGTGGTGCCAAGTGGTGCACGCTGCGAGAAAACGGTCGCGTTCGCTGGCGGATGTTACAAGTATCGTAGCGTAAAGACAAACAACGGATATTCTCAACGGGTTCCGGTTTCAGATAGACGCGCGTCTGACGTTTGTGCATGTGCGTGTGTATATACGTGTGTTCTAACGGGACGGAGTAAAAGTACGCGCTCCGATTTTCGAAGGCGGCGACTCCAAGCGAATGTGAGAGAGTCGGCTTGTACGTATCTCGTAGGTAGACGGATTAAATTATTGAAATTGATCGTGACGTTGTTGCCTTTATCATTGACGTCGGAGGTTTATCGCTCGGCGAAGAAGAGATTGCACAGCGAACTGCTTTCTGATTTATCCCACAAAGTCGTGGGATATAACGCCTTAGAATATATTGCTGCGTACAATAAGTGACAAAACTTGTCTCCAAATTACTAGTAGCCAATTATTACTAGTGACGTAAAAAAACTCCAAGTTGTTCAAATTGAAGAGATAAGAAAATATATATATATTTCACGGATCAGTAGAATGTTATTCGTTCCATGATTACAGATAACGAGAACACACACGTTAATTAAATACAGTGCAATAATGAAATTTAATCCTCTCGGATTTGCGCTGGACACGTTCACGAAATTATTGAAGAAAACTTCCGGTCGCCTGCGGCGGTAAATTACGTAGAGGAATTCGCCGAGAGGTGAAAGAGCGGTTTGCAGACGGTGGTCTGGAATATATTCTCTACAGTACGTACGGTGGACTAATCCACGACAGCTGTAAAGACGAAGAAATCAGCTGCGATAAGCATCATCGGTACTATCTAATCGCGGAATCGCTCCATCCGCGTTGCGCACGAAACACGATCTGCTTTAATCGGCATGGCGAACGCATGTCACGGGATTAGTTCCATAAATTCGTCGACGTCGATCGACAGTACAATGTGTCTGTTTGCGCGAAAAAACGAAGGATTATTCGGTCAATCCTACTCGATCGAATAGAATCTCCTATTCCGATCTTTCTCGCGCGAAGTAAAGGACAGTGCGACGATGTAACACGTAGGAAGTTACGAAGTATCTTGCAAAGTAGAGGACAGCGTTCACCAATCGTGATTATTTGCGTCGACCGGAAAGAGGCCGATAATTACGCGAATGTTGTCGCAGAAATAATTGCTAATTTCGTTTGGATTTCATGGCTACGTTATGATTAGAGTCTTGATTGCTTGGCGCAATCAAAGGGTAAAAGACTAAAAAGAAAGAAGAGGAAACGAAGGAGAAGTATCTTCAGCATATCGAGTACGCGAGAATCATCCGGCGAAAGGAGGGAGGGACAGTTTCTTGCCAATTTGTGGACAGATTTTCTCGAGCAACTTTGAGGATTCAAACTTCGGAAGAGTCCGATATCCGGTGTATACACGTAGATTACGCGACGGAGAGATACGATACAAGCGAAGGGCAAAACATCGACGACGGGCGTGCGATAATCCCGCGCGAACTCGCGACTAGTAGTCATCGATCGACCACGAGACGCCGTGCGCCGCGACGCCCTCTCCTCGCCTTGCTGTCGGTTATCCCCACCTGTCCCTGTCCTGTCCTCGGTGTTGTGTCAGACATTTACGTATCACGTCGGAAACACACGCCTGGCGCGCTCTCTCCTCGTCCCTTTCTTGCTCTATCTTCCCCTTCTCTCTCTCTCTCTGTTCCTGCCTCTCTTTCTTTCTCTCCCCGTTTCTCATCTCCGTCCTCTCTCTCCCCCCCCCCTCCTCTCTCATCTCTTTTTCTTTCTCCGGATCATTTGCCTTCCTCGCAGATCCTATCTCCTCCAGGGTGAACCATAGTCCGCGGGTAGTCCTATTGTCAAATAGACCACGGGCGTGGGTCACGTTTCTCTTGCGCCGAACGGTGCACCGCGGTGGCTTTGACATCGCCACCGGCACACGAGGTGTTGTCGCCGATGCCGTAGGTGGGAATCAGTACGTCGGCGTCTATCGCGGCGTGCGGACCTCGACGATGTGTCGCGGCGCGTTTCAACGTGCGCGCAAAAAAACGAGCGACTGAGCTCGACGTCGAGGCGAAACGTTTCTCCAAACGAATCTCGAGATACCCGGGGGTTCGTTGAAGTGCTTGTCCCAATTGATCCACCCTTCTCGCAATGGTGATCAATGCTAATCCCGAAACGCTAAAATGATCTCTCGCGTGCGTACCCTTCGAGCCATCAGACGATTTAATCTCCAGTGAAAGAAAAAACGCGCGTGCGGTGAATTCGACGGTGGAATTCGATGTTTCATTCTGACACGCGGCAATTAGCCCAGCTGATAGATATCGGAGAAGATACGTCGCCACGCGACGCGGAGGAACGGGGAACTCCCTCGTTGTAGACGCGCGCGACGGGGATTATCGGTCTATGAGGGCGTCAGAGAGAAGCGAGAAAGTTCAGGCAGAAAAGCAGATAGCGCGTAAATTCCTCTATCCGGTCTCGTCGGCGGTACGTTCATCGTGCGCGTGTTCCATGTCGATGCGACTAGAACAAGAAGATACGAATTACAACAAGGACAACGCACACCTCGCTACGTAGACTATTCATTCGAGCGGGCGTTTTTGCCATTCTTCAGTTTCTTGACTAGAACATTGGATAAGTCTTCTAGAAGACTTCTAAGAGTCTGCCTACAAATCGCACAATGTTTTGCTTCCAAAGTCCCTTCACGCGATCGTCGCGTGGCGTTATGTCCACCGCATCGCTGTCGAAGAGCAAGTCCTCGCTGACCAATGCGATTCTATCGCCAACCGCCAGAACGTCCAACGTGAGCGAGAGCAACCGACGCGGCTCCGAGGCGACCAGCGAGGGCTCCAACTCTTCCATCAGGTACATCGATCAGGAGGCCTCGATGTCCGGCGGTAGCAGCACGGACACATTACCGGGTATCCGTGCTGATTACCTCGATCCTGAACCCTTATCGCCCGGAGCGGACGCTCTGACTTCGCCTAGCGGCATAATGGTCGTTTTGAACGGCAACAATACCAATGACCAACAGTTTATGCTGCAGGATGAGAGCCATCAGATTACGCGTTCTCTGCCGTCGCCGAAAAAGTCGAACAACAACGGCAGCAGTTGGCGCCGCAAGCTCATGCTGCGTCTTCGTTCCAACGATTCCGCAAACTTGAACAACGGCGAGATACGTTCCTCCTCGACGTCTCCTTCACCCGCGAGCGAATCGATAGCGGAGTCTTCGTCTTCATCAAGGAATCCTCGTGTAGACGAGGGGCAGCATGGTGGCAATACCACCGCGACGACCGTCTCGTCGCCGTCGGTGCAGATCGACGTGATCGACGAGAGCCCTCAGGTAGCTGCCGCCTCTGTCAGCGATATACCATCTCTGGAGAATGGCTTCAGCGAGCCCGAGGATGAAAATGACGACGAAGAGGATGAAGAGGAGGCCTCTCCGGAGACCGAGACTGAGGAGGGTTCATCTTTACCGTCCAGCCCAGCAGCCGCGTCCACCGTCGGCTTGACTACTTCCGCGGCGCCTTATTACGACTTCCTGTCGGTGAACGGCGGTACCATGCGACAAGAGACCACCAGTACTAGCTCGCCGCAGCTATCGTCCGGCGCGAGTTTGCGTTCCAGCGTGGAGTCACCGCCCGCTGACACCTGCAGCTCCTACGGTGAGGACAGCAGCCCGGGCATGGACTCGCTGAAGCCCGAGGGCCTGGACGCGTCTGGGTGCCTGCCAGCTGCAAGATCATGTCCGAATCTGGAGCGGCAAAGCGCTGGTTGCTCATCAGCCAGCGGCTCGTCGAGCGCGAGCCCGAGTCCGGGACCAGCCGGACCTCGTTTCAAGCCTCTCGAGGAAGGCGACATACAGGTGTGCTATCTGAATCACACCCGGACCCTCGTGAAGAAGATCCTGTCCAGCAAATTCCTCAGACGTTGGGAAACCCATCATCTCTATCTCAATGATGCTTGCTTATCCTCCAAAACGGTGAGTGTGACGTAAACGTGTAGCTTTATCGCGCGCTTGCGGTGGAATTCCCACGTGATACAAAGCTTTTGAAATTTTACTTCTTGAACGCCATGAAATTCCGCACAAAAAAAATATCTATAATTTATCAAAATAAAGTACGATAAAGTAATAATAAAATTGTTCTCGTTATAGTTAATCATTAAACCGATAATTATGTAGTGGTAATTTTGAAAGGTATTCACTATAAAACCATTTATTTAATGATTAATCGCAGTTAGAAACATACCATTTTTATCAGGTTAAGCCTAATCGCAAGTTAACCAGCAAATCAAAATCAGACCTTAAAGTACAAAACTATTAATTTAGTGAGGGCAGATGCAATGAAAGGAATATTAAGGAATGAGTTCAGACAATAACACACACAAATAATAGACTTTAATCTTTTAGAAACCGTATATCAATGCATAATTTCTGATAAGTTGAAATCTGTTACCTGTGTGTTTTATTCCCTGTTCCTTTTTCTTATTTCTTTCATTGTGTCTGAGCCCTAATTAAACTTAGCTCAGAAGAACACAATTTTGCATTATCATCAAGTCAAATAAAGTTAAATTTAAATCACAAATTAACCAGAAGATGAAAAATCGGGCCATGATAATATAATTAAGCTTTGAGGCTATAGCACGTAAAAAAAACTTAATTAGTAAGATATAAGCAGTAAGGAAATCAACATGTTAGATTTGCTACTTCTTATGTTATAATCTTACGGTCTCTACTGTGATTGATCAATTCGCTTACTGCTTAACGTTCTACTGTTTAATTTTGTTTATGGCCCTTATTCTGTGATTGACATTAAAGACAAGTGCCCTGAAATTCCGTTCGAGATCTTTCTTGACTTAGGTCGCTTCCAAGCTTGTTACGTTACCGCACGTACATTGAAAGAAAAGATTGGCTGCTGCAGCAAATTAGATGGTAAAATATGGCATAGCATTTTTAATTGGTTGCAACAGCCAATTTTTGGATGTTGCAGCCAATTGTTGGTTGTATTAGCCTATCCGCAATGTCAGTATAAGATTTCGATTGGCTAACGCAACCAAAAATTGGTTGCTACAGCCAATTAAAAATGCTATGCCATATTTAACCATCTAATTTGTTGCAGCAACCAATCTTTTCTTTCAGTATAGGCTTGATGACTTTTCATCTGTCCATTTATATTATTATCCGGATTACTGGTTACTATGGTAATCTGCGAACGATAATATGATTGTAATTACTCGAAAATAAATCCTGTTGTCTAACTTTGTCTCCCAATAGGATTATTGTAGTCCGCGATCGACAAATCGATTTCAGATAAATGCATAGCGATGTAATTAGAAAACTACCGAGAAACTGGTATAAAGAATTTAGTTATTTCTCGGCTACGGAAAGACTTGACACAACTCTGATAGCTCCAAGGACGACGCAAGCGGTTTAAACTGTTTATTTTGGAAGTAACAGGCAAGTTTGGAGATGACAAATTTAGCTGGTATACAATTCCACGTGTCATGTCGTATCCACTTTTCCGTCTCATAATCCGATTGCCTTTCGCGTAAAGAACGCGTTTATCGTAGTTTTCGTTATGTAAACTCGCAAGGCGAAGTTTTCATATTTCATCATCGTGATTCGCAGTGACTTCGACGTGACTTCGACTTCGCAGAGATTTCGTGATTGAGAGGCCGAGCCCGCGAAAATAATTTACCTGCTACCGCTTTTTATACTTCCATTTTAATTTGAAAAAAATCACGTACCAATTTTGATCGCGTCATTTCTCCCATTTTCAACATTGATCTCTCCGCCAATAAATTTAATCTCCGTAAATTTATTATACTTATAAATATTTATCAATAGAAGTACTGACCCATTCATCAATTTCAATCGTCAATTGTATGCAACTACTCGAGAGTAAATCCTGTTGTCTAACTTTATCTCTTAATAGGATTATTGTAGTTTATGATCGACAAATCTATTTCAGATAAATGTATATATACCGATGTAATTAGAAAATTTAATTTATTATTTATAAAAAATATTCTTTCTCTTCTTTCACTTTTTTTTTATTTCTCGTTACGGTGGAAACTAACTCTAAATTTTTTTGAGTGAATTCATTCTTCTGGAATGAGATTTACTCCAAAAAATTTAGAGAATTCGTTTCATCATTCGTCTCATTCATTCGTTTCATTCATTACGAGAAATGAAGAGAGAGAAAAAAGTGGAAGAGAAAGAAAGAATATTTTTTAAATAATAATTAATTAAAATTTCTAATTAATTATTACTTTCGCGGACTACAATTATCCTATTGAGAGACAAAGTTAGACGACAGGATTTACTCTCGAGTAGTCGAAAAGAGATTCCATTCTTGGAATGAGACTTACTTCAAAGAATTTCGAAAGAAATGTTAACAAATTCGCTGTGTTAAAGTATAGAAACTCATCATAGAGTGAATTATTCTCGATTGCTTCATGTTGCTGGTCGTTCTTCGCGTGGACTACGATTTCTCGTTATCGGCAGTTCGGGAACGTTCGTACGTAACGTACGAAACAGCGGAGATCGGTCATCTCGAGTAACGATGATTACGCGAGTCTCTGTTCCTCCACTCCCTCCGCTCCTCTCCATGACTCGCGTTGTATCGGAATGCAATCTGCATCGTCAGGGGCGATTTATGGCACGCTATCGCGATACACGGCCAAGAACATTGGCGATCGTGGCAGCTGCACCGAAGTGCGACGAACAGCAATGGGATCCATCCTTCTCTCATCCGGTGGGTGATGTTACGTAATTGCGAATTTTCCGGCGCGCAGGCAAGATAGAAAAAGAAAAGAAGAGAGAAATATTGGTTGGAGAAAAAAAAACCGGCTAAATTCGTTGCCTTCAGCTTTCAGCGCGCAATCACGATGTTTGATGCCGATTGCCTGATTACTGAACCACCGCACCGCCGCTGTACCCCATACTTCGCGAAATCCAATTTATCGTTTCGCTTTGTAGGAGAACTCGCTTGAAAACGCGGAGTGGAGTACTTGATGCACTTCATTGACGTGATTGATTCTATTCCCGTGGTGATGCATTTACCCTTCAAGACTTCAAGACTGTGCTCCCGTCCCGTATGATGTAGCTAAACGATTTTTTTTAAATAAATTTTCCGACATTCTTGGTCGCTTGGGACTATCTCGTTGACGCATTAGCATCATAAAAAGATTTCTGCGCGGTTCGCCGTGTCTGTTTCTTCTTCTGTTTTCGCGGTGCGATAACAGAAATTATTCGCATGTGCGCAAAGAGTGGCAGTGCATGCGAAACCTCCCCGTAAACCTTACATTCCTTCGAACATTCCTTCGATGACACTACTCATTTGAACGTCTTCGTGACTGCGTGTTTCTTTCACCTGTGTGAAAGAAATTAGGACCCTTTGAAATTAACACTCACTTTTTCAGAATTTTTTATTGTGCTCGGATATGTCTTTCTCTACACTCACTTATTGTTAGAAACACATTGGTAGAAACAATGGCTGCGTTTAGCAGAAAAGCAACTTTGAAATTCTTTTAAAATTCTTTAATATGATTAATTTTGTCCTTATTTTCTCACTGGAACTAACATAAATGTATAAACTATGATTGTATTAAAGAATATATATTACAACAATATCTTCGCTGTGTTAACGTATGCAGAATAATTAGTATTAATTTACTAATTTTATACTATAGAAGACTCTAACAAAGGGTCGAAATTAATCATATTCTTTTATACAATTTTCATTTAGTGTTGGCTTTCATGGGCTTTTTTATTGTGATGATTAATTTTATTTGGAGCCTTTGTCTTTATATATTTTAATTTTGCAACAGTCGCAAGCTGCCGTTTTTTCGAACGAACTAATATTCAGGTATATTAGACGCGACAATTATCGCAATAATCCGATACTGAACGTACAAACAAATAACATAGTGTTAATATTAGCATAATATGGGTTGTAATCATGACGTGCTGTACGTACGTCACGATAACAGGTAGAATATTGATGGGAGATAATACTTATGTCATATAGATATAGTCACAGAAAAAAAAGAACCTTGACGATATGATAAAGACGGTTTAGCTCGTCATCGATAAAACTTTGCGATCGTTCGGTAACATTCCACGATCATTTAATCGAGTCAAATTCTTGAATTAATCGTTCGTAAATGCGTCGATATTTGCGTGACGAACATTCGACACGTTACGTGGCGCGAAATTTGCGACCATCTCTTTTCTTCGTCATCGCGAAGAATCGTTGAATTATGTTAATTTGCCGATAACTCATGTGGGCCAATGTTTGATTAGTTCGAGCCGTGCGTCAGTCTTGGCTTACATGAAATTTGTGTGAAACGACACAATAATGGCAGGAGAGAGAGAGAGAGAGGGGGAAGAAAAACACGTGTCCGCTGATTGTCAATTCTAGCTATGGTTAATCGAGCGAGTAAAAAAGCCGATAAAAAAGCCGTGACTTTTCTGACGCACTCGAACGGCCGAAAAGATTGGCCTCTCGATATCGCGGAACCGTTTTGCTTCTCGGTATCGGGTGCCATTAATATCATTTCGATATCACTCGATACTCTTTCTTTCTCTCCTCGTGCACGGTATTAACAAATAGATAATACCAGATGCGAATTTATCAATGCCGAAAATACTCAACGTAAGGTCGGTCCGCATTTGTTTCGCACGTTAATTTCGCCATGCCCGTTAAAATTGACATACGAAAGTCGAAACGAAAGTAACGCTCTATATATAGAATGCGCATAGTGGCGGTGGGCATGTTTAAAATTAATTATAAATGCTATTTGTGTAAATGAAGTGCTTTTATTAGCCTCAGATCCACGTCAAGAGCGCAATTAATATGCTATCGCGCGGAATTCCTAATATCGGAGTCTCGGTGAAAATAAGCAGACGTCCCCGATATTCTATAGTAATTTGCATGATTACACGAGGCCACGAATATTTTGGGAAATTTATCCGTT